TTAGAGTGAATGTAAATTGCAATTGTTTCAGTTTTGCCCAGAAACCCTGAGGGTCTTCCCCTCCCAGATTGATTTTTTTTTTTTAAAAAACTAGTTGAAAGAGACCATTCTTTTTCTTACCTAGCCTTAATCACTGAATAGGCATTGCCTCAGTCAAACTGAACCTTGTTCAAGACCTTAGCTTAAAAAGGCCAAGGTCTCCCACTACATCTAGGGCCATCTCCAATCGTCCTGATCTATATCTTGCCATTGGACCCAGACCGCTCCAGAGGTGACTTTGCACAGCCCTTCCCTCACTTAAATCCAATTAATTTACAAGTCATGGCATCAGCTTCCTGATGTCAAGGTCCTCTTCAAGGAGAAACAATAACAACAATTTGTTCATTGTAGAACTAGTATTTGGTGGAAAGTAGTCAAGGCTTGGATAAAGAACTTGAGGATCCCTTTCCCCTTTAAGAATAGTGAATAGGAGTTTAGCTTGAACCTAAGAATTACTTTCCCTAGACTAATAATATTTAAAGGAGCAAATAGATATAATTCTGGCCTGGGATCCCCTCTTTCTGAGGAGAGCAGAATGGCCTCTGGTCCCAGCCTCCTGCTTCCCCACCTGGCAGGAATTAAAGTCTTCCTTGGAGAAGGGAGTGGGGGAGGGGGCAGCACAGGTAGGTGGCGCAGTGCATAGAGCTCCGGCCTTGGAGTCAGTTGAACCTGAGTTCAAATCCGACCTCAGACACATAACACTTCCTAGCTGTGTGACCCTGGGCAAGTCACTTAGCCCCATTGCCTAGCCAAATAAGAAAGAGAAGGGAGTGGGGGAGAGGAAGCGCTAACGATGTCTATTCTTGCCTCTCTCCGTGCATGTGTGTGTGTGTGTGTGTGTGTGTGTGTGTGTGTGTGTGTTGGGGAGAGAGACAACTTTGCTATATATATAATTATGCAAAAGTGGTGTAAGTTGTCATCCAGTTCAGTGTTTAACCAAGATTATTAATGAACCAAGTAAACAGTAAAACATTTGTATGAGGAAAGGAGAGTAAAGTAAATATCAGACAAAATCAATCCATGGAATAATTCTCGGCTGTTTCTCGGCATATACAAAGGGGTACAATTTCCCACAGATTTCCATACCTGAAAAGAAGAGAGTGTTCAAAGGCTAGGAAGGGTATCTGGAAATCTTCAAATAGCTTCATCTTCCCACAACCAGCTGTGCTTTGTTTTTTCTTGGTTTCACCTTGCGTAACAACCTTGGTGTGGTCTTAGCTACTGAGGTTGATTCTTTTCCTCCTGGAAAATGTAATTGCTCATTGTTGAGACCACACTGGCCAACATTCCTGGGGCTAATTAACTTGTTTTAAATTGTTTTATTAGTCTTGGCTACACTCCATTTGGCTGAGGTTACTCAAGCAAATCTCAAGACCTTGCTTACTTATCATCTTTTCACAGAAAGGTCCCCAGTTCTTATGATAATAATAGCTAACATTTACATAGTATTTTTAGGTTTGCAAAGCACTTCACATCTATTATTTCATTTGTTCTTCACAACAACCCAGTAAGGCAGGTGCTATTATAATCTCTATTTCAGTGCCTCAATTTCCTCATCTATAAAATGGGGATAATAATAGTACTCATCTTCCAGGATTGTTGTGAGGATCAAATGAGATAATATTTGCAAAGTGCTTTGCAACCTTAGTGTGCCATATAAATGCTATTTTTTATTATTTGACAGATGAGGAAACTGAGGCAAATAAAGGTTAAGTGACTTACCCAAAATTACACAGCTAGTAAGTGTCTAAGGTAGGATTTGATCTCAGGCATTCCTGACTCCAGTACCAAAGCTCTAACCATTGTACCATCTAGCTGCATTATGGTGACTAAATTTCTTTTACTTCTTCCTCTCCCCCGATAAAGTTTCACAGAATCATAGATACGGAATTGGAAGAGACTTTAGAGGTTACTAACCCTGACTCATTTTAGCGATGAGAAAACTGAGTTTTAAATTGCCCCAGGTTCACACAGCTAGTAATTGTCCAAGGTGGGATTTGAACTCGTCTTCTTTGCTCCAAACCTAGCACTCTATTTCACCCCAAGATGCTACCTCCCCTTGAGCCTCTAGCGTAGCTGTGGGAAATTAACAACGGGGGAAAAACCTCCCAACCATTTAGCAATCCCCTAAAAACAGTTAGCTGCCTCTTCCTCAGTTGACCTCTATAAACCCTAACTTGGGCACCAGGGCCCCAGGGCCCCAGCAGTGGGGGCTGAGAGCTGTGGGCAAAGATTAAGCAAACACATGCTCAGTTATAACCTTGCATCCTGGATTACCCTGGGGGTTAGAGGGGGTGGGGCTGGAGGGAGGGTGGGGGAGAAGAACAGATAAGTTTCATCCACTTTTTTCTCCCAGGGACCCCAAGATACCATGCCACTTCTTTCTTTCTTTTTTTTACTTTGTAAAGGTGTATCAGAATAGATCCTGATTTAAATTTGAAACCTGGCCCTGACATGAACTAACTACATGACCTTGGACAAGAGAGTTTCTCTCTATGAGCCTCAACTTTTTCTTTTTTGAAATGAGGGGGTTGGACTAGATAATTTTTAAGTCACTCTTAACTATGATATTATTAATAATAATAATGATTATTAATTATTATTAATATTATTAGATTCCACCTCTCAACTTTAAACTGGGGCTCTGATTTTAGCTTTCTGAGAATGAGGCTTCTGTACCCTCTATTGACCAATTGAGACTCTGTTCCATTAATGGAACAGTTTTAAAGTTTCAGCTCTACTCAGTGCCTCCTTTAACCCACCCTCACCCCCAACAGAGAGAGTGTTGGAATTTCTGCCTTAGGACCTTCCTCAGCCTGGGAGTGACCTGAATCCAATCTCCCTCCAAGATCACTCAGGACATTAGGGTAAAATCTGTTCTCATCCTCCTGGAGCTCTCATCAGGAGGTGATATTATTCATGATCCACTCCTTCTTTAAAATAGTCTTAAATTTTTGTTGTTGTTGAAAAGATATCCTACTTCCCTTGACTTCCATGACACCAAGCTTTCGTGGTTCTCTTATTTCTCTGACTAATTCTTCTTCCTGTCCTTAGCTGGGTTTCATCCTCTTTCTGCCCCTTAAATAATAAGTATCCCCTAGGGCTTCTCTTCTTGGTCCTTTTCACTATTAAACAATCTCTGCCTTAGATAGCTCATCCCTCCCATAGCTTCAGTTAACAGTCCTAATAGATAACTCCCAAATCTCTATTTCTATTCCCTGCAGACCTCTTCCCGATAAATATGTCTACCTGGACATCCAACTAGTAACTAAAACAAAAATGGCTAAACCTGAGTTCATCTTTTTGAAACCTGCCTTTTCCTTAACTTCTCTGTTTCTATTCAGCCATGTCTGATTCTTTGTGACCCCATTTAAAGTTTTCTTGGCAGAGATACTGGAGTAGTTTGCCATTTCCTTCTCCAGCTCATTTTATAGATAAGGAAACTGGGATAAACAGGATTAAGTGACTTGCCCAGGGTCACATAGCTAGGAACTGTCTGAGGCAGCATTTGAATTCAGGAAGATGAGTCTTCCTAATTCCAAGCCCAGTGCTCTATCCACTTGGGCACCTAGTTGCCCGTTTCTATTGGTAGTACTACAGTATTTCAGTTACTATGGGGTTTCACAATGTTTAACTTTTCTCTCTCTATTAATCCCCACTCCAATCAGCTTCCAAGTCCTATGGATGGGATCTTGGCAAAATCTCTTGAACCTATCCATTTCTTTCTACTTTTGCTCTCACTGGTATCATCAAAATGAGTGTAGAGGATTGACTGCTGGGCTTGGAGGAAGGAAAACCTGAGTTCTAAACCTCACTTCTAACATTGGCTGTGTAACCTTAGAACAGATTCTTGACCTTCAGTTTCTTCAACTGTATGAGGAAGAAGTTGAAATAGAAGACCTCTCAATTCCCTAATTTGTAATCTATGGTGCTATGAAAGATCACTTCATTACCTTTTTCTTCATTGTAATAAAATTTCAGCTGGTCTTCCTGCCTGCGTTCTGTCCCTTCTCACACCTGCTTAAGTAATTTCCCTAACTCACTGTTCTGACCACACCACACCTCTGCTCAGAAAAAACCCTTCCATGGCTCCCTATTTCTAACGGAATAAAACATATATGATGGATTCTGCATTCAAAACCCACCGTAGGGGATTTTAGGCAGCTAGGTGGCATAGTGGATAGAGTGCCAGGTCTGAAGTCAGGAAGATCTTAATTCAAATCCAGCCACAGACACTTACTGACTCCGTGATCCTGGGCAAATCACTTAACTCTGCCTCAGTTTCCTCCTTTGTAAACCGAGCTGGAGAAGGAAATGGCAAACCACTCCAGTATCTTTGCCAAGAAAACTCCAAGCAGGATCACGAAAAGTCGGATGTGACTGAAATCGACATTCCTTTACTAGACCAAAAACTCCTTGAGATCAATCAATCCACCAGTCAACAACGACGTGCTTGGCTTTGTGCCAAGTCCTTCTTTTACAACGAAAAAGTGAAAATGGTCCCTGCACTTCCAGAGCAACCTGGATTAAAATCTTGTGATAAGCACTCTGCACTAGAAAAGGAAACAAGGTAGATGCCCAGGAATGGGGAGAAGAGCGATCAGATGTGACGTTGTAAATATTTTTGTCTACATGGGACATCTTCCTCTCCTCTGCCCTCCTTAAGTACTACGAGGCCTAAGGCTAGTGGAACATCAACTATTCCTCCAAGACCCTGCCTTCCCCCAAAGCCTCGCCCAGCGCCCTAAGTCTGAGAAATGGAATTGAATTGAACAGGTGAGAGCCGGCTCAAGGCAGGGTCCAATCGGGAGCGTCCCGTGGAGCCGTCACGTGCTGGCGCAGGGCCAATGAGCAGGGAAAGGGCGGGGCCAGGCTGCTGTCCAGAGGCAGGCGCGAGCGCGGCTAGCTGGGCCGCCAGTCCGGGTGGGCGGCAGCACGGCGGGCGGCTGTGCGGTGCCATGGCGGCGGGCGCGGAGCTGGATGGGGACCTCGAGGAGCGGCGGCTGCGGCCGGAGGCGGGGGCCTTCCTGGCGAGCGGTAGGGGCGGAACTGCGGCCTGGGGCCGCTTCTGGGGCGGAAGCTGGGGGAGCCTGGGGCTCGGCGGCCCTCAGCCCCCGCCCCCCGGCCAGTCCGAGGTCCGCGGGGCCCCCTCGGGTCAGCGAAGGTCCCGGGGCCCGGGAGGCTGACAAGCAGAACCCCGCCCCCCGGGGTGGGGGAAGGGAAGTCTCGTGGTCTGGCGTGCTGGGGGAGACCCGGGGCGAGGGAGTCAAGGGGACCCCCCCCCCGGCTGGAGTGGGCAGGAGAGGACTCCAGGCCAGGACAGAGCTCTGGGTCGCGATGGAGGAGGTCAGTCTAGTTCGGGAGGGCTTCCTGGAGGAGTTGCTTACTTACTGACTGGTTCCTTTCCCACTGCTCCAGAGCATCAGCACATCCGCTACAACCCGCTGCAGGATGAGTGGGTGCTGGTGTCCGCCCACCGAATGAAGCGACCCTGGCAGGGGCAGGTGGACCCCCTCCCCACTGAGGACGTACCTCGGCATGACCCCCACAACCCCCTCTGTCCCGGGGCAATTCGGGCCAATGGCGAGGTAACCTGACTTCCTCCTCCCCTCCCCCTCACCTGGGCAGCTTGTCCTCCTTCCCTGTAACCTCTACCTACACCTCCCTAGGGCCCTTCTTAGAAGTCCCCCTTATTCTCTCCCCACCCATCTCAGCTCCCTCCTTAGGTCTTTCCTTGCCCTCCATGAACCCCTCTTGATAACTTTGGGGGGGGGTCTAGGAGATCAAGAACCTCGTTTGTCCCAGCCTAGTGGATAATGTACCTGGAGCAGGAATCAGGAAGACCTGATTTAAATCTGACCTCAGACACATACTAGCTGTGAGACCTTAGGCCAGTCAGTTAACGGTCTGTCTGCTTTAGTTTCTTCATCTGTAAAATGGGGAGTAATAATAGCACCTACCTCCCAGGGTTGTTGTGAGGATCAAATGAATGCTTACTGAAGGGCCTGGCACACAGTAGGTGCCATATAAATGTTTATTCCCTACCCTGCCCCATGCAGGTGAATCCCTACTACGAGGGCACCTTCCTGTTCAACAATGACTTCCCTGCCCTGCAGCCTGATGCCCCTAGTCCTGGTAAACATAGAGACACTGCCCCCTGGGGAAAACGGGGCTTGGGGGTAGTTTTGGCTGTATATAATTTTTCTCTCTTAGACTTAAAACTTTTTCTGTCACACCCTCACCAGGACCCAGTGAACACCCACTATTCCGAGCTGAAGCTGCCCGAGGAGTTTGGTAAGGACTTCAGACACTCTTCAAAATCTTGTGTGTTGGGCTGAGCTTGGGAGGAGGGTATCTTGAAGCATCTTCCTTTTCAAGGTGTTTTTCTGCCTTTTACACAGTAAAGCCTTAAGTCTGAGTCTTCCCTTCCCCCTTCACATGTGTGGGCCGTTCCGCTTCTCCTTTCTCCCAAGTAAGGCCTGTGTCATCTCCTACCTCCATCCTATTAGTAAGGTCCTGTGTTTCCATCCCTGGTCCGATATCACACTGCCGCTCATGTCTATACCTGAGATCCGAGCTGTCATTGATACATGGGCCTCAGTCACGGAGGAGTTGGGTGCTCAGTACCCCTGGGTACAGGTCAGTAAGGTCATTACTTAATGATAGTCCCAAGAGAAAGGAGGGTGGGGTCAAGGACTCTTGGGTCTAGTAGTAGGGGAACCTCCTTGGGTGGTTAGATTCCTGCAGATTGGGATTGGGTTGGAAGTACCTCTGTCCTTGTGGAGAAAATAGTAACAGTCTTTGAGTATTTGAAGGACTGTAATTTACAAGGAGGAATTTTAGACTTGTTCTGCTAGGTCCCAGAAGTCAAAACTAGTAGTTGTGGGCAGAGGTTCCAGAAAGGCACATTAAGACTTGATTGATAGAGCCATGTGACCCTAGGCAAGTCACTTAACCCTAATTGCCTAAAAAAAAAAGACTTGATAGATGGGAAAAAACTTCCTGTTAGAAGTTGTACAAAAGTAGACAGATTGCTTTGGGAAATAGCGGAGTCTCCCTAACTGGAGGTCTTCAAACAATAGCTAGATGACCACTTTTTGGACTAGATGGTCTCGAGATCGCTTGCAGTAATCTGAACATTGTCTCTGTGACCGCTGGCTACTAAACTCTTCTCTTTTGTCCCTAGATCTTTGAGAACAAAGGAGCCATGATGGGCTGTTCCAACCCCCACCCCCACTGTCAGGTGAATTTCTCATTATCATTGTCCTCTTATGGAATGTAAGCTCTTTGAGGTCAAGATGGCTTTGTGTTTGGTTTTTTGTATCCCTGGGGCCTTGAGCAGCTGCTTGGCACGTTGCATTTGCTTATTAAAGGCTTGTTAATTGTCTTATCCAGTCATTTATCCCTCTTTACCATGCCTTCAACCCATTTTATTTCCCTTCTACTCCACTAATAAGGGATGGGGGATGGATACAGAGATTTCTGGGATGTAGCGTTCTGGAGAAGAAGGAGGAGGGGAGAAGGGCTGTAATAGAATATGGGGATTGGGTGGTGATGAGGGGTCCTTTCCAGGTGTGGGCTAGCAGCTTCTTGCCAGACATGGCCCAGCGGGAGGAACGAAGCCAGAGGGCCTATCAAAAGCAGCATGGAGGTCCCATGCTTTTGGAGTATGGGCGTCAGGAAGCTGAGAGAAAGGTAAGTTCAGAGTTGGGAGCCTTAGAGTGCTTGAGATTACCTGAGGTGCACCCCTAACCCACAGGCATTTAAGACATACCTTCTTGCCCTCCATCAGAAACTGAGCCTAACCCCTAGGATTTTGTGATTTCTTCTTCCCTCCCCTCTCACACCACTGTCTCTCTGTTGGTGATTATGAGTGCCAGGAAGACTAAGCAGTGATGGGGACAGTTCAAGGCCCCTTCCCCTTCCCCTGAAGTTAGATCCCTATGACCCTGAGACACCTACTTTCTCTTAACCCTAGCTCCTACTTGACCTCTAGCTCCTTCTTTATGTTTTCCTAGGAGCGAGTGGTCCTAGAGAGTGAACACTGGCTGGTGCTGGTGCCCTTCTGGGCTGTCTGGCCTTTCCAGACGCTGTTGCTGCCACGGAGACATGTGAAGAGGCTCCCAGAGCTGAGCTCTGTAGAACGAGATGGTGAGAGGACTTGTCTTCCTCAAATGGGTCCTGCCTATTCCCCCTTGTCAATTCCTCTGGAACTTCTCTCTGTCTCTTTGGTTACTTGGAGGGGTTTAGGGAGGTGGTAGGGCAGCTAGATGATTCAGTGGATAGAGTGCTGGGCCTGGAGTCAGGAAGACCTGAGTTCAAATTTGACTTTAGACATTTATTAACTGTGACCCTGGGCAAGTCACTTAACCTCTGTCATAATCCACTGAGGACGGAAATGATAAACCATTTCAGTACCTTTGCCAAGAAAACCCCATGGACAGCATGGTCCATGGGGTCATGAAGAGTCAGACACAACTGAAAAACCAGGAAAAGGGAGGTGGTAGCATTGTAGTTAGGCAGCTAGGTGGCACAGTGGATAAAGTGCCAGGCCTGGAGTCAGCAACTCATCTTCCTGAGTTCAAATCTAGCCAAAGACATTTACTAGCTGTGTGACCCTAAATAAGTCACTTAACTGTATTTGCCTCAGTTTCCTCATCTGTAAAATGAACTGGAGAAGGAAATGGCAAACCATTCCAATATCTTTGCCAAGAAAATCCCAAATGGGGTCACAAAGAATTGGACATGACTAAACAATAAAAGCATTATAGAAGGGCTCTAGCTTTGTGGGACAGGATCCTGTCTTCTAGGCAGTGATCAGAAGAGCAGAGCAGGAAGAGCTTGGATTCTGAGTTTTAAATGTCCTGGTTTCTGAATTTGTACTTGTAGGCTCTGTGGGTCTAGGTACTGAGGTCAGATGATAACAACAGCTCTGTTCTAGATCTGGCTTGCATCATGAAGAAGCTGCTGACCAAATATGACAACCTATTTGAGACATCCTTCCCGTATTCCATGGGCTGGCATGGTAAGGTTCATTCCCCACTACAGGAACATATGGGGCACCTAAACCCAAGAGAGAACTCAGACCTCTTTTCCAGCTCTAGTTGCCTTTGAGTCCTGTTGAGTTTTGCTCAACAAAGACCACATCTCCCATCAAGCCTTGCTAAACGAGCCTGTTAATGCTGTAATGCATACTGGGAGTTGTGGTCTCTCCTGGGTCTAACAAGCAGGGCATTGTAGAGCAGGACATGCTGGGAGTTGTGGTCTCTGGATGAGAAGTTTATAGCATAATCTTCCTACATTTCCCATAATGCTGTCCTGCAGTCTACCTGCTGAGGCAGATCATGTTAGAAGTTTGGTCTGAGATGAGACTTAGTTCTTTAAAACATGCCTGGGAAAACAGTCCTGAGTTTTCCATGGGACCTATTGGAGGCAGAGCATGTTTAAAAAAAGAATACCCTTAAAAATATTTATGGTTGTCTTATTTTTACGTCATCTTTATTTCAGAATATATCCCTCTCCCTTCCTTTACCCAACAAGCCATTTTGTGTAATAAAGAATTTTGGAAGAAAAAAGTCCACTTAGTAAAAACCACCAACCAACACATGAATTGACTTGGACAGTGTATATTATTTTCCATTCCCGTGGTCCTTCCCCTTACAAAGAAGAGGAGAAGGTAGAGTTTTTCAGCTTCTCCAGGACCAAGCTTCTTAGTCATCACAATTGGGTTTTTTTGTTGTTTCCAATTATATTGTTGTCATTGTGTATGTTTTCCTGGATCTGCTTCATTCTGTGTTAATTCATCTAAATCTTGGGAGTAGAGACTGTTTACTTATGTGCTGCAGAGAAGTGAACTATTTGAACTGGTCAGGAGAGAATGAAGACCATTCACACCTGGCCTTCTATTTCCTTGCCTTCTCAGGTGCCCCAACTGGGGCTGAGGCTGGGGCTGATTGTGACCACTGGCAGCTCCACGCCCACTACTATCCACCACTGCTTCGATCAGGCACCATCCGAAAGTTCATGGTTGGTTATGAGATGCTGGCCCAGGCTCAAAGGGACCTGACCCCAGAGCAGGTCAGCTTCAGAATTTAATAACAGTTTCTATCAACCCAAGGATTAATGAAACCACTTGGGTGTATGGGGGAGGGGCAGGGACAAGGGGATGGGGAAGGGATCTTCAGTGCTTCTGCCCCCTTTCCCAATTCTTCTTCCCTTTCCCCAGGCTGCAGAGCGATTGAGGGCACTACCAGAAGATCATTATAGGCTTCGACAGAAGGACTCGTCCTGACCATGGTCCTCAGTTAGGACTGGTTCCAAGCTGTCATCTACCTCCCCCACCCCCAATTTGCTTCAACCCCCTTATCTCACAGGG